CTTTTCGACCGGTACTTCGCAGCAGCTCGCGCAGAGCCCATAGAAATACATGGCAGAGTGGAGCGCGTGGGGCATCTCGTGATGAATTTGATAGCTTGGCCAAGCGCGTTGAAGAAAGAAGCAATATGATTGGCTGTTGGTAAATTAATTCTAAACTGTGAGGGCATTGTCAATACACATATTCCTAATGAAATACTTCAAGGTGATATCGGAGTGCTTCGCCGGAACATTCACCTTGAAAATTCAAGATGGGTCTGCATTGGAATGCACGCCGCGGGGCAATTTGGGTAAAACATAAAGTCGAGCAATATTAAACATTCAGCTCCTGGACAATAGTGAAACACTTAGAAAAAATTCACCAACTGATTTTATTAATTTAAGAACACTAAACCAGTTTACATATTGTGATAAACAAATTTCAAATATAGTAGTATACCATAGTATATTAGGGTTTTATAACTCATGCTTGAAGTGCCCGCGGTTCAATACAGTCAAGTAAAACGAGTCGTGTTGTTTATAGAAATGGTAACACGGATCCCTATAGCTATCATGAATATCAACATTTTTCACTATAAAACAGGAGCTTTGAATTGACGGTTGTCATTTTTTACGCTGGAGAGCTGTATAGGTAGATTGTAACCCATATGGAATACGACGCGGCGCAACGACTACCACCCTTTAATATAATATAATCAAACAGATAAATTTATCGACATTTTACCTAATCAGATTAAATCTGGAGCATTCTGAATTTATATTACCCTCCTATTACCATTCCATATTTCCCCTACGGGAATACTGTTGTTTTGAAACAGCGCCACCAATTGTTTTGATCGTAAAATCTTTCGATAAGTGGAGGAGTGATTTACCAAACAGCCTAACATATATCTTCTGTATTGCAGGTTGACGTGTCTTTTAATGTCTCTTCCGTGTTTCTGAGAATTATCTTGTAGATGAAAAATTTGTGATTATTTATAACATTCCAGATCGACTAGAGAAGACAAGAACACAAACATGGAGTCTCTCTATCATCAAACAAATAAGTAAGTAATATAAACGAACATATGGCGAAACAAGATGCTTCATAAATAGTTCGAGCAACTGATAGCGCTGCGATGAGGTCTACATAGGTGATGTTTGCCGGTGTTGACATTACGGCGCATTGTTTTGGCAATCGCTAGCCGTATGAACTTTGTTCCGGCATTGTTTCAGCATAGTCATACGACGTGATTTAAAACGTGTCTTACAAAATATCGCTATAAAAGAAGCCTTGCCTGTATCTCTGATGCAGTTCTTAAAATTAACCGTGTCTTGTCGTAGCTGCAAGTGTTATGAAGATTATTCCCGATCGTTGTAAATTTATATGTAATTATACCAACCCTTAATTGTAAAAAAGCAATATTGATATTTTTATTCCATTTGAAGAATATTCTAGTATTTTTGTTTCTGTTACTGTGAGGGGAAAATGAGAAATACTAGTAGTTTTATCATAGGGAGCCCAGGAACTATAATCAACTGTAATACGCAGTCTCTATGAGCGGGGGGGGGGGGGGGTATCGGCTGGTATCTAGTGTAAGAAATAGACAAGGGATGAAGGCTCCAGCCAGCTCACATTTTTAAACTTGAAAAAACAGACGAAAAGAATGAAAAATAAAATATAAAAAAAATACCAGGTTGAAGAATATTAGTTGCTTCTTCAAATTTCGCCAAAGCCCTACCTAGATGTAGACATACATCTATCTCATCAATATTATTTTAACTGCAATTATTAATAGAAAGGATTTATTATGGAATGCCAAAATCATATAAATTCGGTCTTGACCCCCCACTCTGTCTATTGTGGTTATTTGAAGACTGTACACGTTTTCCAGCATACTAAACTAGTCAACAAATTTAACAAGTGTTTCCGCTTTTTACACTGGTCGTCAGCATGAGTGTTGACAAGTCTAAATAGCTTTTGATTGTATATAGCGCCACCTGTGGCTGTTCCTGACTCCATACATCTAGATTAAATAACAATTGTATGGATAACAAACAATATCTTTTCTTTCCATGGCAAAAGTGAGTATAAATGTCCTGAAACAATGCAATAATATATTATCTAAGCAAGGAAAATACATGCCAAAAAAGTCATCTTAATTACACAAAAAATAATTAATATTCATGTTCCTCAAATAATACTGTACTGTAATAATCTTAACGTCTCTTATAGAATAACATAACATGAATTCAATAAAAGTTTCTAATAAACAATGGATAGTAAGTACAGTAACATGTATTTGAGCAAAATTTGGCAAGAAAAAATACTAGCCAATGTATTCCTTGAATAATACTACATGTACTGTATAAATCTTAATGTACCTTATAAAATAATTAAGCATGAATTATAAAAAATATTCCCAAATATTATTGTATTAATATATTTAAGCAAAATAAATGCCAGCCAAAATGCCCCAAAGTTGACTGTCTAGTCATAAAACTTGGTGTTTGATCATAGTTTCTCTTTTTCATTACCGGTAATCGAATTTATATAATAAACTGTGGATATTGACTACCTTGAATGTTGTGAATGTGTAGGCCATGGTAACCAAGCATAAGCTACTCTTCACAATGACCTGTTAACGACCGTAAAAGTTGGTAAATATTGAGTTTACCTAATTAATAATTACCAGATTTTTTAAAAATAACCATGCTGTTTTTTCGACAAGATCATACTTCAACATTTATAATTCACTTCTGCATTGCGTTACCGGAATGTCTTTGGGAAACACAGCATTCTGGTTGGTTAATAACAGACTTGACCTATTAAAGCAAAAGACATCATGGCGGAAACTGCTTTGTATCAAGAGTTTATTCATAATCATACACAATGAAGATAATGTGTGTCTTTCCACAGACCCTAATAATTTTAACATTGTAAATTTTGGTGGTTTATAATTAATATTGTAATAAATGTGCATATTTTTGGGACCTTCTCTGTTATTTCATTGTAAAAGTGTAAAATCAATGAACTAATTTTGCAATTTTATTTTCCTCAACGAGACGTAATAATCCCTTCAAGATTGGCACATGGTGAACTAAAATTATCATTTGCATACTTTTTCGAGCAGGCTGCTCAGCTAAGCACCCAACCCCTAAAACACATTTTTGGAGCTGAGTACCCTGGGTCAGATTAGTACGGTTATAAGATTCCTAAATCTAAATGGGCTGATGTGAATGCAGTGAATTTGATAAATATAATTAATTTTAGTGAATTTCTTGTGACAGGTTGTGCATCCATGTTTTGGTTCATTGCATATAAATTATTTTCATTGTTTGTTAAATAACTCTAATGCGAAACATGCTTACATGTGATATGGCCTTACTCGTGAATATGTATGCACATAGTTTGATGTTTGTCTCATTTTAATCCTATCACTAAAGAAATGTGATTATCTACAAACATTAAGTGATGGAATTAGGTGAAAACTTGAATTGGTCAACTTAGCCATGCTTTACGTTTGCTTTCATCCTGTAGCATTTATGGTGTTTTTACACATGTTTGCAGTATTGGGTAAAAGTTTTTTCGTTCACCTGTAACTTTGGATATATATTTTTCCTCATTTTTTCAGTAACCTAGCAATTTTGCATGCTAGCTGCATCAAATAGTTATATATATATATATATATATATATAAGTAATAATAACATATTTTTTATATTTTAGAAGTTTGTCTCTAATAGTGTAGTTAACCAAAATGATGTCTTCATTGTAAATCATTCTGCATTGACATTGACACTGTGTGTTGACATACGAATATTAATGCATATATTTTTCACATTTTATTGCCAGAATGCTGCATGAGGTACAAGCTAATATGGGCAGAATTGAACGAGCCAGACCAGATGAAGTCCATCGTAAGATATTATTTTTCTAACATGGCGTTTTTTATACAGTTACAATGTGCTGGCTGTGATCTTGAGTTTGAACCCTGTGTTGTATGGTGTAATTTCTGCGTATTTGTGTGCCTGTAGTTATACTAACGTATTGCGCACTATTGTGTGAAAGATTTGATAGTTTAAATTTATGCCAAATGTTGAAAATTTATGCAGTAATTATTCAGATTAGAATCATGAATACATCATTGTAAAAGTGTTGTGAAAATCAATGAAATGATTTTGCAATTTTATTAAAGAGACATAATATTCCCTTCAATCAAACAAAAATTATATTTATCAAAGGGGGTCCTCAGCTAAGCACTTACTTCCTAAAATGCATTTTTGAAGCTAGGTACCCTGGGTGCTAATTGTGTCAAATTGGTGTATATTGGCAACTTCATGATATTCGCATACTACTAAAATTTTGGTCTGAGTTTGAACTTGCGCCATTTTTTGCATGTGATCCTAGCTGCTTGTATTCATCTATTTCATCACCATTGATTTCTGCTATAATTCCAGTTGTGGAGGATGAAATACAAGCCAGAATTGACCAAATAACAAGTAACATAGAACGATTGGAAATCATGGTGAACAAAGAACCACCAACACGAAGACAAAATGCAAAGCTGTAAGTCAATCTAAACAGCAACATGTTTTTGTTGTGAGCGCCCTCTAGAGATAGTAATGAGGAATACTTTGTTTGATCTATTTATGTTTTGAATTACTATGATTGTAGATTTGCAACTTATCTGTAATCACATTGAGCTGTTTCTTATAATCACCTGGGCTTACCCAATGATCATAAAAGGTTTGAACTGAAATAAAAAGGCATTAGCTAAGTTTCTCACCTGGTTTTCAGATTGTTTAATCCATGAGAGCCTAAATTACCTTGATGGTAGTACCCAGTGGTAATATGTCATATAAAGTGGCATATATTCAGATACCCGTAAATTGCTGGAAAATGTAATTTTGATTGATAAAAAATCATTTTGCAGCAATTAACATGATATAATCATGAATATATATCATGACGTATCTCTGTGTGTTCACTATTTGGTGCTAGAAAGGTAATTTAGCTCTGTATTAAATGGATTAAAATATTGGTGAAAAATACAACTCCTGCTGCTTCTTTAACAGTATCATCGCTACATGTACATGTAGGCAGTTGCAAGAAATACTGGAAATTTGACGTTCTTTTCTTTTGTTTTATTTAGCCGAGTAGATCAGCTAAAGTATGACTGTAGGCATGTTCAGTCTGCTATGAGAAATATACAACATAGGAGGTATGCCAGGGAAGAGGAAGAAAAAGAAAGAGAAGCATTATTATCAAGAACATTTACAACTAACGTTAGTTGCTTGTTACTATGTGTGTGTACCAGCTCTGTATTTTGTTAGTCCCAATCGGACAAGGTCCAAAACGGGGACTTGTGTTTTAGATTCCGTTCGTTTTACATATCTGTGTATGCGTCAATTGTCATTTCTTGAACATGCCTGGATTTATTTTGTTAAATGTTGATACAAAGACAAGTCATAATAGGATATGTATGCATCAATTTGTTATTCATCTGGTTGAACTTTGACTAATTGATGGCTATATTTGTCTCAAAGAACACCAAAAAGGCTTGTCATTATATTTGTCAACTTCATTAAAAATGTCTGACTGGTGGTCATTTTGTTTTTGACAAGTATTCTGCCTATTTCTTCGGGACATTTTACAGATTTAGCTTTAATTTGGTACAGATTATTGTGATTTCCTCCTCTATTCAGACACCAGAATTATGGCTGACAGTGCACTGGATGCATTCTGTTTTCACTAATTGTTTATTTTCTTCTCTATACATAGGACCCAGACACCAGCATTATGATAGATGCTGCACTTCAACATAATACCGGTTTACACAATGCACACCGAGGCATGGACGACTTGCTTGGGAGTGGGAGTGCCATTTTAACAGGGCTGAGAGATCAAAGGTCAACTTTAAAGGTTTGTTATGATTAAGTGAATTAGAGATAAACCATCATATTTTCATTTAAAGCGACAACTTAGAATATTGTTTGTATGTTTGCATATTTTAGTTTGTTAATGTAGCGAAGTAGAATCAATTGTGTATCTTACAGTAAAAAAATATCTGTATTAATTCAATGACGTAATTAATGGAAATGTTATTTTGTTTGTACTCGAAAATACGTATGTATGTACATGTATGTATGTTAAAGCTTAAAGGGCGGCAGTCGCCGTGTCGCGTCCTGTTTGATATGGGACTCGTAGCGACGTATACAACGCATGTAAAATACATCGTTCATTTACATGAAATTCGAACATGCGCTGCGCGGCGACCATCGTGCTTTAACCTAGGATGGGCACATACTAAGAGTTTTTCATTAGCTCCACTTTCGAACTTGTATCTGATTGTATGGTATCTTCAGAACTCCGGAAAACTTTATCGTAGGGTGTTCAATTAAAACTGTTTGATAATATTTGACAAACCTAAACACTGATTGTATAATCTTATCATGTTTTTTCTTGTTTGTGATATAGTCATGCTGTTATCTGGATCTATTCAGATTTATAAATCCCATTGATGTACCTCGCTTTGAACTACATTAGACCAATGACTATTAAGTCATATTCCGTTCTTGTAGGACTCGCAACCAATAAAAACTATTGTTATATAACACTTTTTAGTAAAGCACTCTCTAATTAGTTAACACCCTCTGTTATAGCAGGGATTTTTTTAAACAAGGGAACAGGGGTGAAGCACCCTCATGCCATGCCCATGCACTCCTTACCCTTGGGAGCAGACCTTCTGGCAACCATAAAATTCTGTGCATGTGGCCACAGTCTTCAACTGTGACCTGTCTGATAGTAATTTTGGCCCCAAGGAAGCCATATAATGTTTAATTTTAACTTAGAATTATCAAAAACACCACACCCTGGTAGGGAGAACCGCTGAATTGCAGTGCTCCATCTTGCATTTTTTTTTCTAGAAAAACCCCTGTTATAGGAAACCTGCATTAATGTGATTTGCTTACTCATTTGGTCAGATATAAAGTATGAGTGCAGCTATATTGCATCATACTGATGCATGAATACACACAAAAAACTACAGTCCCATTAATTCATTCTTTCTCTTTCCACCGTAATATATAGTTTAATTATTTATTTTGCAGGGTGTGCATAAAAAAGTTCTTGATGTTGCCAACACACTTGGTATTTCCAATACAGTTATGAGACTAATAGAAAGGCGTTCAGTACAAGACAAGTTTATTCTTTACACGGGAATGATAGTAACAATAATAGCTATGTATTTTATTTACAAGTATCTTGCTTGATTACAAAAATTAAAAATCATATTTAACAGATTTATTAGTATATTTTTTTATATAATGGCTGGACTACCACACTTGTGTGGCTTGAGGTTGTTCACTCAATTACAAAACCACAAGGTGAGAAATAGAAGTCTTCAATGGGGTGCTGTTTATGATGTGTTGACTCAGGAACACACAAAACATCAAAGAAACCAGAGAGCTTTCAAACTTAACTTCTTGTTTATTCCGCCATTTTCAGTTACACCACCCGTACTACTTTTTTTTTTTTTTTTTTTTAAATATTTTTTTTACATATCAATACACTCAGGTGATCAGTTGACATATAACACCATTACAAAAGTATGTATTCTGGCGCATGCAATAAAGTAGTCCCAAAAACGTCACACTGTTTTATATCTAATAATTACACGATTCATCATTATATGTACATAATATAATTGTGGTACAAATTGTTTGTATATAATGAAGTCTATTATTGAACTAACTTATTTTATATAATGAAAGATTGCTCATTACTTATTTATATATATTATCTATAAAGAAATTGTATTGTATTATACATTTAATTTTTACAAACAACAATATGATATACCGCTACTAATAATTTTCATATCATAAAAGTGAATGTGAAAATTATTTATCACGTAAGTGTAATGACAATTTTTTAAATATAATTTGAGTATGCTGTATTCATGTTTTGCAAATAATATTTCAGTATTTATCATATAACTGAACAAATGAAAACTGTTTATACATAATGTTGATAATGTTAATACAATTTAATTACATATATTGGAATCAAAATTGTATATAAATAAGTAATGCAGTCCATTTATTATATACAAATAAATTTAGGATTACTTAATATGTTATACTCATAATTTTGAATATTTCATTTGATACATATAAATGGGAATTGTGTATTTATTACAAATAATTTGTTTATTACAATAGCTTGACAATTTATGTATAATATTGGGGGCAAAATTATTATATACAAAAAGGTTCAATAATTCTCTTCATTATATACCAACAATTTGTACCATATATTGAAGAATCATGTAATTATTACCGATACATATAATTTGCTTAAATCAATAAATGCACAAACTGCACCCCAGTCCTCTCTAGGTTACAGGATGGAAAAGGGTATGGATGTTAAGTCAAGTAGTATTATAGTACAGGTCTCATGCCACTAATCAACCAATGACTGTTTATAGCCCTCAATTTAAATGCCTTGCAAGAACCAATGAAATGTGTTAAACATTGTTTTTCTCAGGTGCTTCCTGTTTGAGGGCGTGGTCACATGGGTCAATGGTTAGACCAACATGTGGTCTTTTGTTTACTACTTAGCGGCTGTGTACCTAATGTTCTAATCTTGGTGTTTTTCCAGTGATTTCTCTAGATGCAATTCAAATACAGTTGGTGTACCTTGTTTACCTAAGATTTGCAAGAGTATGAACTGGCCAACATGTTACTTTTTTGCATGTGGTTAATTACTGGCATGTTGATTTCTCATTTTTGAGCCATGTTTTCAACTTTGTTTATTATTTTCATATAAGCAAACTCATCATGTGTAAACATTGTCATCTATAGAGTTTCAATTAGTGGTATGAGACCTACAACTTTCATATAGACTTCACGATGTCCTGTCTGAGGGCGCTATATTCGTGATGGCGAGTCATTGTATAATCAAATTTATACCTTAAAACTTAGAATCCCTAGTTTATTCTCAAATTTACTATATAGGTAAGTACCACCTGGGTATTTCCTCTATGGATTGGAGCGACAAGCATGGCACGAAAGCAACCTGATACAACTACCACATGCCTTGGTGGGGGCCATTGATCAGTTGGTATCTGCGATAAGGCCTGATTAAGCGGATAGGTGTATATCAGTTGGTGGAGGCCACTGATTGGGTAGTATCTACGAACATGTTAACTGCGTGTTTGCTTGCGACTGTAATAGCATAAAAAAATCATCCCATACAAGATTACGTTGGAGTCTGCCTATGCGAATCACGACGGTGAATTGTTGAAATAGTCGAATCGTTGACAGATTGAAGAACAACCGGTAATATACAAGTACCACCAGTTTAGGATCAGTATTTATTGTTATGAATTGCATTGTATTGTATTAAATTGTATGACAATTCTTTATAAAATAATGTCCCATTATTTTTCATATATGCTTACTATATTTCATTGTCAGCCAGCATAGTTTAGTTATTTTACGTAAACGAACGCTGTGTATCTCAGTGCAGTACATATGGAGGAACAGGCAAATTCGCTAAAATTCCAAAATTAAGATATTTATAGGGAGAGAGAATATGGATGTATAGCCGGGGTATTTGAAACCGAAATTGTCATCTAAGCGTTAAGCCGTCGCTGATTGGCTGCTGAGCTGGAATGCCAATTTTTAGTTTTAAATACCCCCAGGAAAGTGTTCTAGGTTCTTCGCGTAATTAGGTGTTTGTATGCAAGGGATTTTTTCACACAAAAATGACGTATTAGGCCGAATTTTGTTATCGGTTGGCTTAATATGACCCCAACGGACCGTATTTTTGTGAAAGATTTGTATTTTTGTACTATTTGTAGGAATCTGAAAAAACGCGTTTCACAACTTGTCTCTTATTTAGTTTTATGCGTCATTCAAGATGGCGGCCCCCATATAGTAAATATCGTATTTATTTTATTATCATGTGTGCGCCAGCTGACTGTGAATCAACTGTACGCAGTCCCTATGACCGCGGGGGGGGGGGGGGTATCGACTGGTATCTTGTGCAAGAAATAAACAAGGCATGAATGCCAGCTCACATTTTTTAAACTCGAAAAAACAGTCAAACAGAATGAAAAATAAAATCTAAAAAAAAAAAAATACCAGCTTGAAGAATATTGGTTGCTCCTTCAAATTTCGCCAAAACCATGTTTTTATTTCACCGATATCACTAGAATAAATCAAGAAAACTACATACAAACATTGACTCTGGAAACTCTGTGAGCCAGTACTTGAGTTAGCTGAGGTTGCTTATGTGTGCGTAGAGTTAAATACATAGGCGGGGGTCCCAGAAATCAGTCTAACATGTTTTCATGATTACACAATGCAGGCGTGACTCAAACCGCCAATGAAAGAATAATTAGGTTGTTGATCCAAACGATACCTGCCGTCGATATAAACGGAAGGATCAATTCAACAGAAATTGACATGCAACTAGCGATGCATTCGGTAAGCCGGTGACAGTGGTATCATGCATTCCATATATCCCACCTAACTCGCCTAAAGTCGCTAAAAGCCATGCACTAATAATTTTGTTAGGACGCAGTCAATCATTGATTAAATGATCAGTTACCTGCTTTCTAATTGTGCACTGTTTGTGCATGAAATGAGGGAGGTTATTCTGAAGGCAAAGAATGGTAGCAAACTTCCGTACGAAGTCTTGAACAATGGACACACTATCCTATTCTTAGCGCATTATTCCAACTCTGTTTTGATTAGGGGAAAACTTCAAGTATATGGCAAATACACTTAAGGGGGGGT